GTTGCCCAAAGCCCCGTCCAACCTGGCCTTGAACCCTTCCAGGGAGGGGGCAGCCACAGCTTCTCTGGGCAGCCTGTGCCAGGGCCTCACCCCCCTCACAGGGAACAATTTCTGCCTTGGATCTCATCTAAATCTCCCCTCTGACAGTTTAAACCCCTTCCCCCTTGTCCTATCCCTCCCCCTGATGAGGAGTCCCTCCACCCGTTCCTGCAGCCCCTTTCAGCCCTGGGGGGCCGCTCTAAGGTCTCCCCAGAGCCTTCTCCAGCTGAACCCCCCAACTCTCCCAGCCTGTCCTCACAGGGGGTGCTCCAGCCCCCCCAGCATCTCCGTGGCCTCCTCTGGCCCCGCTGGAGCAGGTCCGTGTCCTGTACAGGTTCGGTGCTTGTCGGCACTGGCTGTGGCGGAGCTGCGGCGGATCCTCCCCTCTGCCAGCCCCGAGAGGGGACACACGGTGTGGCTGTGCCACGGCACACGCGGCTTCAGTCATTCCCCAACACCAAGACCACGACAGACTCGCCCTTCACCTGTGCTTCCTTCTCCTGGATTAAGGAGAGAAAATTTCTTTGTTTTATAAGGATTCAGGATTTTGCTCCAAGAATTCCTTCTGCTTCCCATACAGCCACCTGGCTGTTGACTCTGTCCAGCACCCCAGAAAATCACACAGAATGAGCAAATTCACCAATGATTTTGTTCTTTTCAATTTTTGTACACCTGAAGGACTGTGACATCGGACATACCCACAGGCACGAGTTGCTCGGAAATGCTCCAAGCTGTACGTCAAAAATTACCTGTCACTTTTGCCAAAACATTTCTGTTGTCAGAAAGATTCTTCTGAATGATCTTGTAAACTTTTAAACCTCATTTAAAAAAACTCGTAGCGTCAAGAATTAATGAAGTTGGTTGTCAATACAGGAGAAGTATTTTCCTTGTGGCCTCTTCCCAAGCTTTGATTCCTCACCAGAGCCACCTGCCACTCATAATGCTTTGAACTGTTGCTCTTAAAAAGGCTAAAGGAGACGAAAATAGGTCTTGGACAGCTGAGTTGGGATGCTTGGACACTGTTTAGAAAAGCAGGGGTGGTGCCTTTTTGCCTGCCCGTGGCTGGTCCTGCAGATTCTGGTGGTTAAAGCACTGGGCAAAGTAATTACTCGGCAGCCACCGAGCTCCATTTTGCCAAATTGTTGCTTCTTAAGCTGATTTGGGGATACCTGGGGTGCGATAGATGTCACAAAGAATATAGAACTCGATTTGTCTGCAGCAAAGAGCCGTGGCTGCCTGCTGAGCTACCTGGGCTTCGTTCCTGGCATCCAGGGATCATCTCACACGTGTTCTTGTTGCTTCCTCCTAGGTCGCCAAGTTTATCGGGTCTCCCCCTGGCTACGTGGGCCACGAGGAGGGCGGGCAGCTCACCAAAAAGCTGAGGCAGTGTCCAAATGCTGTGGTGCTCTTCGACGAAGTTGACAAAGCCCACCCGGACGTCCTCACCATCATGCTGCAGCTCTTCGACGAGGTAAATCCACGTTTTGGGGTCAGAATCTGCACAGGGGCCCTTGGGAAAGTGACAGTAAGTGGTGCGAGGGACAGTGGGCGTGGGAGATGTTCCGGACTGGAGCTGAAATGCTCCAAATCGATAGTCCCTGGCGAAAAAGTGTCAGCCAGCCAGCCAGCCTCTTCCTTTTAACACCAGGAGACAGGATGATGCTGGGTTCTCCTGGTGGAATAAATGACATCTTTAGGCAAAGAAAAAGCCGGTGATGGGAGGGTTGGAAACTTGAGGAAGAAGCCTGGGAACTGGATTGTCCCGTGTCACCAGGAAGGTGTGACAGTGAAGGCTGTGTCATGAGGATACTGCTAAGGAAAACCAGCTCAGTGTGGGAGTTGGTGAGCTGCTGGTCCTCAGCAGAAAGCAGGAGCGAGGAGAGGAGTCAGGAGGGCAACGGCCCTGTTCTGTGGGTGCGCTACACCCACCTCCCACTTCCACGGCATGGAGGAGCCAGCAGTGTGCCCAGGGGGCCAAGAGGGCCAACGGCATCCTGGCTGGTGTCAGCCCTGGCGTGGCCAGCAGGGCCAGGGAAGGGATCTGAGCCCTGGGCTCGGCACTGGGGAGGCCGCCCCTCGATTCCTGGGTTCAGTTCTGGGCCCCTCACCCCAAAAAGGCCATTGAATGACTCGAGCGTGGGCAGAGAAGGGCAACAGAGCTGGGGCAGGGTCTGGAGCACAGGTCTGCTGGGGAGCGGCTGGGGGAACTGGGGGGTTCAGTCTGGAGAAGAGGAGGCTGAGGGGAGACCTCCTGGCCCTCGGCAACTCCCTGCCAGGAGGGGGCAGAGAGGGGGGATGAGTCTCTGGAGCCAAGGCCCCAGCGCCAGGCCCCGAGGGAATGGCCTCAAGCTGCCCAGGGCAGGGTCAGGCTGGCTCTGAGGAAGGATTTCTGTGCAGAAGGGGCTGTTGGGCGTTGGAATGGGCTGCCCAGGG